GGAGTCCATGAGACTGGGGTGGGGTGGGGTGGAGTGGGTTTCTGGTACTTCAAATTCCGACAGGAACAAACCAAATCCCAATGTAAACAGTAAATTGAAACTAGAAACGACACCAATCCCAAACTACCAACTTCTTTTTAAAAAATTATTATTTTTGTTTATCATTTTTTTCATCAACTAACTTCTAAGCAATCAAAACTGTTTCTTTGTCTTGCTTTGGCAAATACTATATAAAAATTTCCCCTCATGCCTTCTTAGCCTCTCAGTAGAGAGGAATCCCTGAATCCTCAAATAAATGCTTTAAAATTTATATGTGCTTAAGTTTTTTTTTTTTTAACACAAAATCTATTGTCTCTCTTGAAAGGATCCAGCTAAAGGATGAATTTATGAGTTAAAAGATGTTCTGCTTCAATTTAAGAATTAAAAAAATATAAAGCGACATTTGCAGGAAAATTTTCAAATTATGACTGAGGATTTTCTCCATATGAGATGAAATATGCATTTTTAACTAGGCAGATATGAATGTCCCATTTGACCAGAATCTCCTTTCCTGGCTCAGCCTTTGTCTAAAGAACAAAAATCATCTAGGAAAGAATGAGACATCTGTAAGCCTCCCACTAAAACTTCATATTGCAAAAGGTCATTGTCATGATTTCGTCAGGTTCCTCTGTGTTTACATTTAACTCACAGAGGGAGAATGATTAGCATTTATCTCACAATGCTTAAGAAATAGCGAACAAAACTTGTGCAGAATGGAGAGAATAGGGTTGATGGTGCCTTTCAAACACTGTTGCAACATATTTTAAAGAGCAATGAATTAGGCACTCCCAAAGCAGTATTTTGGAGCAAAGCACCTTCATTTTCCTTTAACGTATTTATGGTTAACATCTTCTAGCACAGGAAGAGGTTTATTCAAAATACATATAAAACTCACCTTCCTTAAATCTAGCTCAGTCTTTCGTCCCTTTACAGAGGAAATAACCCCACCAACCTCCGTGAGGTTTCTAAAATTAACATGGCTCAGAACAAAAATATCATTTTATCAACTCCTGCATTTTATGGGCGAGTCTTAGGAAGGCAAAGTGATTTGTCTAGGCGCACATCACTAATCAGTGAGCAAAACGAGGGTAGACCACCAGGATGCAGCATCATGGCTGAGAAAGCAAATGGCCAATATTTTCACTAAGCACCACTCAAAGGACCAGTAGTTTTACTAGAAGTTTCTGAAATTTCACTGTCACAGACATTGATATCTTTGCTGTATTACTGAATAAAACCTTTAAACAGTTCATTTGAATCTGCAGGATTAACTAGTGAATTCTTGATTAAATCTCTAGCCTCATGCTATTACTCATAAAACGCCTCAAGGATTCAACCACGCATGTTATATTCACCCACAACATAAAGAAATCAAAGCATCGGGTTGGGATTTCCCCCTCATCTAAATGTATAACAAAGTTTGGCATGACAAGGGGGAAGGAAAAAAGTTGATATTACCAACACGAACATTTACAGATTCATGTTCTGAACCTTACTCAAGTTAAAAACTAACCAGTACCAAAATAATTTATATTTGAGCTATAACTAGATTCAGAGGAGCAATGCGGAAATGTCTGGCAGAACTGAGGTTTCAATCAACACATGCTTATACTGCACACCCCAAATTCCGGAGCACAGTCGGCACTCTGTATCAGAGGGGTTTCAAAACCCCACAGACACAGAAGGACAATCGTATTCCACTTTTAAGAAATGGATTCCAAAATGTTACTTCTGTCAAAGGCAGAGCAACCAGCTGGGCATGACAGCAGGAAGGGCTGCACTGCCCCCTCCTGGCCGGGAGCCTCGCTGGTGACTCTTCCAATACCAGACACTCATCTGACAAACAGCTGAACTCAAAGTCAGACTTAATCAATACATTTTCACAACGAATGCTGGTCTCCGCAAAAACGCATAAATATTCTTCCAAAACGTTAACACTGCATCCTGCCCATTTTATCTGCTTCAGAATTAGATATAAACATTATTAGCTAGAAAAAGGCAAAGCCGCACTCTCTCCAGAGGAAAGAATAGAATTTAAAAACACATTAAAGAAAAAAAAAAAGTCCACACAGAGAATGGAGTTTTAAAGAAAATAACATACCGAAGCTGTGTCTTAGTAGGTTAAATACTATTGTTCAGACTATGTCAATATGAACCACAAAGGATTAGAAAATCCAATTTTCTTAATTTAAAATGATTAGATCAAGGAGAGCTTTTAAGAGATTTCACTAAAATCAAAGGCAAAGAGTATCTAATCCTTTCAGAAGTCCTTTAACACTTTCTTCAAATGAAACAAAAATGAATAAATAGGATAAAAAGTGAGGACTATGAATGAATTGATATTTAAATAAACCATTATGTATTTAGTGGCCCACAGAACAAGTTAAAAACATCAAAGATGAAAGTTTTCAAAGAATACAAAACATGTTCTAATCCCGACTCTCTGCCAAGGAGAGACGATTATCATGCCCGTTCTAGAAAGAGCCAGAGTTCCAGAGAGATAAAATTAAATCCCAGGAGCATACCATGAATTAATGATACTTTAAGCAGTACCATTACTAGTTAACGGTGGAGGAGGTGAAGGGGTGGAGAGAGGTGGGGGGTGTGAAATTTCTTCCTGTCATCAGATTAGACATCCTGCATTCTGGAAGAAGAGTCAGATAATCAAAAACTGCTGTTTACATGATTAGCAGGAAAAAAACACTGATTTAGGTGCTAAAAATGACTACTAGATATAGGTAAGGTGAATGAGAATTCTGACTATTAAAACTTGGAGTAAAATGTGTAACTGTAAATAAGAGTATATGTTGACATATAGTTATACATGTCTACAGTATAATTAAGTTCACTAATTTACAGTACAAGCCTATTCAGTTTACTTTATTTAGGGAACAAAAATGGCTAGTGAATGATTAGGTTTATTCTATCTAATTTCCTATTATAATGATTTCCCATTAGCTACTTCTGATGTTCACTTTTAAAAGACTAGATAATCCTTAAAAAAAATCCTCTTATGAGACACTGGGAGCTTGGATATATTCTTGGATACATATCCCAGAACTTAAGAGATAAGTTTCAAAAAAAAACTAATAATTTTTTAAAAAACTGGCTGTAATCTCCGAAGTATTGTGTGGTGGCCCACTGACTATAATTCTACCAGGGGTCTTTTATATTGTTAACTCCTCGAAATGTTTGCAATATTCCAAAAATAAAGTGCGTGGCCTTCTCTAGCATAGACGTGTATCAGATAAAAGTATCTGTTCTGTGTGACAAACATAGGAGACAGCAGAGAATCTTTTCATCTGGCATCTATGCTAGATTCCAACATCACACTACACAGCCACAATTCTGGGTGAACCCACTAATCTTACAATACTGAAGTTATCATCAGGACAGGTGGTAGGACTACAACGGTGTTAATGTGAAGACCTCTCAGTTTGCCATAGGCTCTAACTGCACACTGAGAGTATACATTGGACATATAAAACAAAATCTAGAGATGACTCGGTGCTCTTTATAGAAGCCACTTTTATAGCCATGTTGAGAATCACATACATGCCAATATACATTGTATTTAACAATGTAAGGAACCATTTGAGTCTCTCTCAGCAGGAGACTGTAGTCATCACACCGCAGGAGGTCTCATCACAGTTTCAGTAGAAACCAACACATCCCCATCCGGGTAACATTAAAGGACTTTGAAGACACACGTTTCTCCCTACAGCCGAAGCCTCTAACAAAATCTGAGGAGCAAAAAGCCACCTCTGAAGATTTACTGGAGCCAGACAATTTGCTCACGACTGACGGGGTTAGATGCCGCTATGTCAGAATCTAAGGTGGGGGATAAGGAAGCCAACATATTTCTTGAAGTCACACTAAGGTATTTCGCCACCTGTCCCCTGCCATATTTTTAGGGGAACCTATTATTACCAAAGTCTTTCAATAATGTAGTGTCACAGAAGGGAACCGGGAGGGCGCAGGAGAGGAGTGCAGTGGGGAGATGTGGGAGGGTGGAAACCTGATGTCGCTGTCACCGGGTCCGGATATAACCCTGGGAAGACTGAAATGACACTGGGACCCACCTCCTAAGCTTTCCCTGCACATAATCAAGCCTGTGAATCTCCGTTCTAATCATCTGTATCTCCAGCCCTCGAGTTCTGTGATCCTATGATTCTATTATTCCATTTTTAAACCTGTGGAGTGGGAGTGTTTCTGAGTACCCTGCTCACACAGATGGTGGTGGGCAGGATCTCAAGAATATGTTGCATGTAGTAAATGCCCACTTCACTACGTAATCACTCCCTTCCCATTTCACACGAACAAAGATTATATTATCTTAAAGACAGCCACAGAAACACAAGTGGTTTAATGGCACCATAGCATCAGCACATGTATGTGGAAGGAACATGAAAGAAGAAATGTCTCCTAATCACACACAGCTGGGGCTAACGACTCTAAACATGACAAGAATGTAGTATAACAGGACCAGGTCACTACTGTGCATTAGCTCTACATTTCGGGGGACAGAGGGTGACCCGGGGAGGGAAAGCAAAAGGAACTCACTGGAAGAGAAAATCATACACGATCTCTATATTCCTGATGTTCTAAAAATACACGGCACTGAAAAATCATCTGTCAAGGCAACCTTTCCGAGACTAAAAACAAGATCAATGTGCCAACCACCAGTTTCCCACATCATCTCATTTTAAGCATCGCTCTGATCCTTCTCTTCCACAAACTGGCTCTTTACAAAACTGACCCACGCCACAGCAATCTCTGCATCTGGAGTTCGGGTACCATCCCCTTTTCACCTGCTCGCACCTGATCAGCTTAGAGCCATTTTATGCTCCTTGTTACTTTTGCAGACTGTCACTGCACATCAGACACTGGCAAAGACTGTATCCAATTCTGTTATCCTACCATACAATTGTCAAGAAGGTTTTAGCAGGGTATTTCTTTACCTTAGTCTCCTTAGCAGAAAACTCTGAGGAGTTGGAAATTTTCATAGACTTTGACCTGTGGGACTGCCGCCGGATAGAATCCTCCCGGGAGTATTTCACGGAACCTGAGGTCCTCACCCGTACCTTGCTGGCACTCTGAACACTATTCACGCCAATCATTTTGAAGGTCAACTAGGGAAGGGGTTTTGGAGAAATCGAAAGGCACTTTCCAACCGTTACAAGGCTCTAATGCTGGAGGGACTCTGTCGGGTTGCGCCTGAGCAGCTCCTGAGCGCCGTGATCCGCGTCAGCTTGAGAAGCACCGGGCTGCTTCCCCCAGCATCTTCAACTACCCTGTTTGCAGCGAGTCTGATTGTTCCAGGCACAGCTCACGTCACTGGCTGCAAAGAGGAAAAAAAAAGCAATCCACCCCTGCTACTCGTCTCTCTTTTCCACACACACACACACACACACACACACACACACACAGCCCGCACAATATTCACACGCTGGAACAAATGGCAATTGGCCAGGCAAGCAATTCATTAACATTCCAAATAGCAACACTATTTCTCTTCTGATATTGTGCAGTAAGCTCATTAATGTTAACAAAATAGAGATACCACAAATAAAAGTCTCAAGTAATCTGCAAGGCACCATGTGGGGAGGGAACGGAGCTAAATTTCCAAAAGGAGAGAAAAAAAAAAAAAGATAAGCATGAAATGGCTCAATCAATTACAGGCTAGTGAAAAGAATGGTAGATACAAAGGCATCTCAATGATCAGTAATTTTCCTTTCTTTTCTGTTTCAGGCCACATGCTGTTTAACAGCAATTCAAATTGCATTGCCATTCCGAAGAATTAAAATGTTTCTCGTGACCTCAGACTACTACAGCCATATATTTAAACAGGAATTATGTCAGCTTGTATGGCAAATCCAGAATAAAGATGTTATTCTACCTCTCTATCATACTGAAAAAATAACTGGGGAGTTAGCACATGTAAACTTTAAATACGGCTCAGGGTGAGACCAATGAAGCCATCTCAGATCAATAAGGAGCAAGCCGCTTTTCCAAAAGCTATAAACGTTATGTTAGTGGATACAAGAGCGCACGACCTTCTCAGTAAGAACTACAAATTGGAGATTACTAGAAAACAAGATAGTTTTACTTCCTGACACATGAAGTTAGTTTTGAGCATAATACTTAAGACTGTAGTGCCTCATTTAGCTGGCATCCCAGGGCCAAAGGGGTCAGTCACATTAGCATGTTTTTTTCCTCCAGATAAAGATTTTAGTGTTAATAAGGAAATTTAAAAATAGTTTATAAAAGCCAATCTGGTTGAGGCTATTTTCCAAGTTCAAGAAAAAAAAAATAAGGCCAATCTGGTGGGAAAAAGTGCTGCCTCAATTCGTCCCACCCCTCAAATCTAAACTTTTCCTTCATGACTCAGGATTGCAAATTTTGCCAAGTATTGATATTCTTGAGTATTATTTAAGGAAATTTTTTAAGGTTATTTTTCATTCAAGGTGATTGTTTTCCTCCATTATCAATAGGTCTTGGCAAAGGTGACATTTGAGCTTTGGGTTTTGTTTCACTCTCAGGACAGTGGCTTTCTCCTCCACCTACTTTAGACTTCTTTACTTTCCAGTCCCTACTTTTAAAACACTTTTTTTTTTAAATGACAAAGACATGAATTCTGGGGTAAAGTTTTGTCTGAAATAATAATAGATAATAGGTTTTGGAAGATATTGGCGCTCTCCTGTCCTTTGAGGTACACTTTCCTCTCTTCCCCCTTGGTTGAAGCTACTGAATAACTGTCTTCAAGAAGTATAATAAAAAAATTCTGTTGTGACTTTATAAAGTATGTTCCAAGGACGTAAAAAGTGGTACGTGTCATGCCAGACATAGTGGTTCGTGCCTGTAATCCTAGCATTATGGGAGGCTAAGGTGGGAGGATTGCCTGAACTCAGGAGTTCAAGATCAGCCTGAGCAAGACCCCATCTCTACAAGAAATAGAATAATTAGGCTGAGGCCTCAAGGCTGAGGCAGGAGGACCACTTAAGCCCAGGAGTTTGAGGTAGCAGTGAGCTATGGTGATGCCACTGCATTCTACCTGGGGTGATAGAGTAAGACTATGTCTCAAAAAAAAAAAAAAAAAAAAAAAGTGATGTGTTGTAGCAGTAAAATGAAGTTCATCATTTAAAATACACATAATTCTGACTTAAGCATACGTTGATTCTAAAGGCAAATATCTCCATCTAATAAAAGCCTGAGGTAGAACCCATAAAGGAACTGATAGCAGAGCCAAGATAAAAATTTAAAAAGTACCATGTAAAAAACATGAGAGCCTGCCTCAGCGTGGTGATAAATACAGAACATTGGTTGAAAAGAAACACATCCTTTGGATATTTGCCAGTCACCATAATGAGGAGTTAGAAATGTCTTCTGAACTTAATTTTCCTTTTTTCACCAACATGATGAGATGATTTTTTTTTTTTTTTTTAGAAAAGAATAAAAACCATGTGCTAGCATGTACATAAATGGAATCTGATATACAAAGTCATTTCTGGGAGGTTTAGCAGGAATACACTCTCTTTACCCAAAGACTCCCCAACTTGCATTATTCCTGTACTGTCATGAGTAACAACCCCTTTCATCTGTTTAACACCTAATACTTTACAGAAGTAACATGTTATCTCATTTGATTCTCAGCTTGACGATTTTGTGGGGTGGGCCGAGGTGGTATTACAGTCCCCACTTCACAGGTGAGGAAGGTCAGTTCAGGATGCTACGACAGAGGCAGCATTCAAAACTTCTCATGCTGAGCCGTACGACAGACCACACAGTCTCCCTCCCACCGCGGCTGTTTGCATTGCCCTTTCCTTTTTAAACCTGTAACGAGCCCTTTTGCAAGACTGGGAGAGAAAAGTCTCCCTGTGCTCCTGCCTTATCTTCTCTGTTCCAGAATACAAATTTCTATCTGGATAGAAGGAAGGGAAACACTGTGATGCCTCTAGCAGTCTGAGGAGCAGCAGCACGTGATGCCTACCACATATCTGAGTGTGTCCCCAAGAGGTACCGGAAGAAGCCGGCAGGACTCCTAGCACTCAGGGCCCCTAGGTGCTCTGGCCTCATCCTACTGACCTAAATTAATCCTTACCACTGCCCACCACACTCTTTCCTTCAAGCACGCCTGTCTCTTCATTCCAGGTTAATGCACTGGACTTTAGCTTCCACTTGACCCATGCATGGAACACGAGCTTGCCTCCTTTCTGAAGCTTTCCTGAATGACCTCCCATTTGCTGTCCTCCTTCCTGGAACTCTGCTGTCCCCACCCTGATCCCCTACATAGCTGGCTTCCCATCATCCAGCTCTCAGCTGAAATGTTACCTTTCCAAAGGGACCTTCTCTGGCCATCCTTCCTTAAAGCGCCCCACCCCCCACCCCACTCATTCTCCATCGTAACTGTTCTTCCCTTGTCTTTAGAGCTCTTAGCACTGTCTGAAATCATCTGCATCAAAGAGCCCACAAAAGTGCCTGGTAGAGAGCACGACCCAATGAGTGCTTAAATAAACAGTACTTAAATAAACTACTTAAATAAACAGTATGTTTCCCTTTGCTATCAGCCTTCATGTCATTAAGCTTTTTTTTTAATTTAGATTTTTTTCTGAAAAATGAATATATAATTTTTTTCCCTGACTATACAAAAAATATGCAGCAAAATTTAAGTTTCCTTCCCATACCAATTGCCTAGTCCCTCTGCCCAAACACAAGAATTATAGCCAGTTTCCCACGCATCCTTCTAGAAGCAATTCATCTATACGCACTACGTGTGTCCCTTGTGTTCTTATGGACTATCAATGGAAGTATGATGTATATTTTTGCAGTTTCTTGCTTTTTTACCTTGTATCATCAAGATTCCTCTACATCATCACACATATTAGCCACCTCACCCTGACCAAAGGCAGCATGGTATTCCAGGATACGGATGTATTGTATTTTATCAGAGTCTTATTACTGGACATTTTGTTTACAGTATTTTGCCACAATAAATAATGGTACAGTGAATATGCCTGCAATCTATCAAATCTTAACATTTAAACAATATGGTTTTCCAATTGTTTTCTGAGCAAGCCTTATTTTCCTCCTCCTACATTTATTTCGTATCGCCCACAGTCATGGTGTTAGGTACACATGGGGTTCACAACTAGATTCAACACGAAATAATTGCTTCAAAGACATATTAGATGGCCCTGTCCTGCCCCATCCGGCTCTGAGGCCTTGACCGTTTATAGACATTAGGCAGCCTGTGCACAGCCAGCCTGCTTGCTAAAAAATAAAAGCAGGCTTCCTGGAGAGCAGCAGCTGTTTAAAGGTACAAAATAACTTTCCATAAAAGCTTTAGCAGAAAATGAAGGTGACTTCCATAACGAATCAAAATTGTAGGAGAAATTTAACGAAGCAAACTAATTAAGTGGAAGGCTGGGAATTGGTCCTTCACCTTCTGATGCTTTCTGACTAAGGACGCTGTTTGGTACATAAGCCCTAAAAGGCTTTTAAAAAGTGACCTAGTTAATGGTCATTGGAAAAATTCTCTTAGCCTGTGAACAGAGTATCAGAGAAATGAACTCAATTTCAGACGTCTTTCTTGTGTACCTACTAGTTACCAGGTGCTGGGGATATACAACACTGATATCATCAGGCCCCTAACTTTGAGTAGGTCACAGTCGGTCAGGGGTGGGGAGTGGAGTGAGCAGGAAATTCTGTCGCCACGATTATAATAGTGAATACATTCGAAGTATGGATGAACTGAAAGGCAGTAGATCCCCGATGAGATAGGCAGGAGAACATCCAATGACATCTAGGCAGATGCTTCTCTCTTTTCTAAGAAAATGTCATAGAACCATTAGCAGAAAAAGCTGAAGATTGAGTTATGAACTCTGGGGAGAAGTGAAAGCAGAAATGAATTATAAATACCAATTGTCCAGAGATACAATCAACGCAATACCTAGCGGGATTGCGAAGGGAAGACAGGCAGAGGGCGTCAAGAGGAATCCAGCCTCAGTTTATTTTCAGAACAGAAACATTCACTTAGCAGTAACATTCACTCTCAAGGCTTTCCCCAGGTTCCTCGGATTACATTGCTCACGGGGACACAGAGTAAAGGGACAGAATGCTG